TGGAGTGTGTTAGTAAAGGTATGAGCTGGAATTTCAAAGACTGTTTTTGGGCCACTTTCATTGGCAGAAGAACACCATGTGACAGAGGAAGATACAGGCCAAGTGACTAACACATTTTTTCAACCTCTTGATTCTCTCCCAAACATAAGAAAAAATATATTAAATCTTTATTTTGTGACTATGCTTCTTTTTTTCATAGTAACCTAGTCTTCAAAGAATTTCCTAGGTTAATATTGTCTAGCTTTCTATCTTGAGCACCATCTATTTCCTGGGCATTGGCTGCATCTCTATTACTCTTTCTGCTGTAGAGAAGAAATCCAACCTTCTCTGCTGCCACCATGTTCCGGACATCTAAATCTTTGAAATCTGTCACTGTGTGGGCAATGAGCTCTGGCATGTTGAGAGACCCTATGTTTGCTCCCCTGCTCTGGATGTCAGCAGTTCTCCAGCACCCCTATTCTCACTGCTGCATACATGGACAGATGTTTAGCCACTGTTTACCAATTTTCTTCCTAAGATGTTGCAAGTCCCTTCTTGCTGACTTGATAATTTGTCTTCTGTGGGCACATTACCCTGGTTTGGCTCCATGGCAGGTTTATCCTGATGATGTCAGAAGTTGTGACAGTCACTGCCCCTACTCTGGCTGAGTCCTTTAGTGACCCGCACTTATCATATGCAAATATTCTGAAAGATCAAGTCTCTTCTGCCCCAGCAAAGTGTCCAGCTGAGGGTGAAGTGAGCTACACAATTGCTCCAAGTCTGGTCTCCTCTATCTGCTGGGCACGGGGTCACTTGCTGCCATGGGAACACATACTCTCTGATCCTCATCTGCTCTTGTGCCTGAAATGCACATTTCATCCTGAGCTGTGCACTGAGCTGGCTCGTCCCTCTCTGTACTTGGTGGGTCGTGAGAGCTGTCACTGGGTCTCTGTGTCAGGTCAGCGGCTCAAGACAGGCAGGGACTGACCGCACACCTGCCAAGAGGCAGATAGCAAGCCAAAAAGTAAAAGTATTTCATCTAAAGGGGATATAAAGGGACCTAAACAGATGCCTAGAGTCCAAAAAAGACTTCAAAGGGATGTTTGATTTTCCCTGGTGATTCCATGCTTAAAAATGTTTAAACAAAACCAATGTATAATTTGGTTGAATGACAAGAATACATAGAGAATGATGATAACTCATGAAGCTTTAGAGGATATAAATGTCAAAGGAGAAGTAGTTATGGTGGTACTAGTGTGACAGCCAGGAGGACCTAAGCGAATTTGAGAAAAGGAAAACTTTGCCTCACTACAAGGAACAAAAATACAAACTAAATAAAGTGGCCTAAAATAAGTAACTGCACAAAGCCTAAGAAACCAAACAAATCCTTTCCTCCAAGCAGTTATTTTGGAAGAGGAAACATACCAGATACTACATTGAGTTCTTTGTGAGCTTTACTCTTGTTGTGGATTTTTGCATGGAAGCCACTTTAAAAAGTTATGGTGATGGTGGCTGCCTAAAATGGAAAGAGCCAACAATAATCGCTGTTTGATTTTAACAATCCCCAAAAGGGAGAGGATTAAATCCCTTAGAAGCAGTAAATTAAAACTGAGCAGAAACCTGGCACACTGAGTAAATGACGCATACAGTGAATGGCACAATCTTCTGTTGGGCACTTATGTGTCTGTCCTTATGTTGGCACATAGAGGACAGACACATCATGATTTTCCGTGTCTAAAATAAAAAGCCTATAAAAAGTACTTCTTCCCGTTATGGAGACAAATACACTTGACAAGAGTGATTTGTCTTATTACAGAATTGAGGCTTTTTTTTTTTTTTTTTTTTTTTTTTTTTTTTTTTTTTTTTTTTTTTTTTTTTTTTTTTTTTTTGCGTATGTATGTGTCCTCCTTTCCCTGGTGTGCTTTAAAAGTGCAGAGAAAACAAAGGTGTCTGATCTGGGTAAGAGTCGGACACGGATGAGGGGTCTGAAACTGGAACAATATCCCTGCTTTTCACATTGATAGTGCTCTCTCTTCACTGTAATGTCTCTGGGGTTTAGAGGATGTGATAAAGCATGTTCAGTCCAAGTGGGGGAAATGTTACAACCTCAAATATAAATAGACATGGTCTTTAAATTTAGTCACTGTGTTAGAAAATTGTAGCAGAAGCTAAACTGAATGTTTGAAGTAATGGAAATTTAAAGTCAGGCTAATGGTCAAAACCAGAGATCAAAGTTGATCTTCCCAGACAGATTTTTCTATTTTATTGCCAAAGGTTTTTCAGGTTTTTTTTAAATAAAGGCTCGAAATATCTGTATATTGATGGCTGTGCTTTGGTGGATGAGTAGTAAAACCAGGCTGGTCACTAGATCAGTGGGACAGACGCTACAAAGGAGAGCATCCTCTTCAGCCTCATGAAGCACAGACTCCTGCGCCAGCAGGGAGGCAAAGAGCTGCTGCACCATGTTCACAGTCCATTAACCACTGGCATTTTCAGTGCATACCAAACCCCAGATCAAATAACTCTGCTGTTAGGTCATGCTAAAGTGCTCCACTGCTTATTTCTCTCTGTCACATCCCAGTTACCAGGCTGCAGGGGCACCAGTGAAAGCAGCATGTGGAAGCTTCAACTGTATACACTTTGGTTCTTGAAACAAACAAATGTGCAATGAATGAGAACTCCTTGTTCCCTTGTTCTGTGTTTATGCTTTGCTGAAGAAGGCATAGGGTTCTTGCTGTGAAGTGGGATGACAAGTTTAAAAGGACACGGGCACAGTGCCAGGCAGCAAGTCCCTGCATCATTCAGGGGCCAGGCTGCACAGAGCCACCGCTCTTCTCCTTCCTGCCACCCTGGTTCCTGGGATGAAGGCATCCAGCCCAGGCATCCAGCTCAGTACTCGCCTCTCTGGTGGCTTCTGGCCTGGGATGGCTAATGGTCGCTGGTAGGAAGGAGGCAGGAGACAGGAATGTGCTGCCATCACGGCACTCTCCATTTCCCTCCATGATTTTGAGCTCTTAGGCATTTTGTTTCAAGGGCAGCGCTCTCCGGATGTTTTCATTCTCGTGTACGTGCTGATGTGACTCTGCCAAGTGATGTGCCTTTTTTTATCTGGGAAAATCCTTGTTGTGTTTTACGAGACGGACATACGAGGCCCAGGAGCTACCAGCACGTACAAACGCCTGCAATCTTTCTTCAGACAAAGGCTGCGGGCCGGATTTTTTCCATCCCCCCCCGAGATAGTAGAAATCAGTGCTCGCAGGGGCGCCCGGGTGTTGTGTGCGGCAGCGGCTCCGGCTGGCCCCGGAGACGTGCCGGGCTGCTCTGCTCTGCCTCTGCTCGGCACAGCAGCCCCGGGCCGGCAGCACGGCTATCTGCTGGAGAGGTTCTGGACTGCTTCACTGCTGTGGGGTGGGGGAATGAACTGCACTGACCCCTCCGACCGTCAAGCGCGCAGAGGCGGGTTAAATCTCTTCTCTTGTTTTGCCGCCTAATCATGCCATGCTGTCTCTCCCAAGCCCCATCCCTCTCTCTTTTCAGATCCTGCTTATTAACCTCTTCTCCCAGATATCTACCACTGACTTTGTCCCTGTAGGTTCTGCCTTCTGTTTTAACCCTTTCACCTGCTCTACTAATGTGCGCCCAAATCCCACACTTGAACACAAATACCAGAACCCCTGAACACGCTAGGGACAACATCTCCCTAACATTATTATCATTACTAATATAACAGCATGTAATAATTACAGTAAGATATAAAACAAGTAAAATAATGCCAGTTGCACACTGGTATCCTACAACTGGGAGGAACAATTCCCAGGAATGATCTATTCCGTTCAAGAATGGCACAAACTTTGGGGACATAGCCTGCCTGTGCTGAAGGAAATGGAGGAACCAAAACAGCATCACTCTTTGTTTTTATTTAATGGCTTCTAATCTCAACAGGCTTGGAGCAGAGGGTAATAGAAAGACTAACTTAATGGCTGCAGTCAGGGCATAGCTGTGTTAGAAAATCTTAATCAAAGAGGATGTGGTTTTCCCGTTATGCTAATAAAGTTTGTTTCTCTTAGGTATGGGGAAATGATTGTTTAAGCTGAAATTTTCCTGAGACAATACAAGGCACGCACAAACATAGAAACTTTCTGTCCACACCACTTGGCAACACTATCAACAACTTGAAATCAGACTCAGTAAGAAGAAGGGTCAGGTAGACTCAGCCATTAGCATTTTCCTCCCTGTGCCTCTCAGAATCAGATGTGGCCTTGTTCATCTTGCTGGGTCAGTAGTTGTACAGCTAGGTGAGGCACTGGAGGAGCCACATACATGTACCTGCAGAAAGCTGCAATATTCAGCTATTGTTTTTGTTTTATGGCAGATGAAGCAATGTGAAAGGACAAGTGATATCCAGCAGGATGATGTGTGGTGTGGAAGAGCACCTGCATCCTCTCTAAGCACTCATCTCCTTTTTTATTGCTTCTAGTGATGTGTCCATAACACCAATGAATCTATGGCGGTATTTGTGCTTGCCACTCAAATTATGGTCATGGAACTAGCTGGACAAAGCCTAGGTTAGAATTAGCAGGAACAAATGTGACTGTGTCTTTTCTTGCTGTTCAGACATCCATATCCTGAGAAAACCCAGCACTGTCCAAAATAATGGAAGTGTTCTAATATTTGCCAGCTCAAGAGCTGTTCTATTATTGGTATCAAAAGGAAAAAACGCAGGTGTTAATGAGGTCAGACTAACTCAGTCCCTGCTTATTTGTGTTTTGGAATGCTGTGAGCAGAGCTCCATGACTCAATGATGCAAAGAGAGGGGTGTCCCTGGCAGCAGAGCCCTGCTGTTGAGGAAGGGCATGGCACTGGGGGTCGTCAGGGGGAAAAGACCCAGTGCCGTGGCTTTATTCCTACAGCCTGTGCAGTTTAACTCTGGACAGAGGTCTGAGGCCACCATGTCCTGATTCAGATTTCTCTTTAGCAATGCTTGTGCTCATGGAGCCATTGCTCCCCCCTTACATTTCCAGCCATTCCTTCTTTCAGCTGCACCTCAGCACAACCACCTCCTCTACAGCACCAGCACAGTGGGTTATAGAGACAAGTGTTGAACCCCAAAAGAGAACTGATCCAGGCTAAAACCCCAATGTACCAGGATAAGAAGAGCAGACAGATCTCCTTAAATGGGAGTTGCCACAAAATGCCCTTCAGGAAAATGCAGCCCCTGGGTTCAGATGGCAGCCACGAGCGGGACCAGCTCTCCCTGGGAATGGATATGTGAGCCACTGAGAAACCTGTCTGTGTTTTTGCCCCACTTCAATCCACCAATTGCGTCTGCTCCTGTGTTCAGAGACAATCTTCACATGGAAAAACAAAGGTAGGTGCCTTTCTGACTTAACTTTTCTCACTACACAAAGATTTAAAACAAAAATTATTCCTACCTCCAAATTTTTTCTTCTCTGTCAGAAATCCAGGTCTCAGCAAGCTGGCTTCCTTGAAAGCTTCTAGTGATAAAGCAGAAGCAGTTGTGTGAGCCACCAGCTACAGCAATTTTCAAGGAAAATCTAATTGAGGGGAAATGAGTTCATTGAGACCACCTGGAGCTCTCTGTCACCAAAGAGGACCAACAGGGCAGAAAGCAGCAGTGAAAGGTCAAGTTTAATGGTCAAGATAAATATGGAAACAGTTGTTGCACAGGATTTCTTGGGTAAATTCACATTGCAAATACAAAAACTCCCAGAAGTGAGTGTTATCCACAGTGCTACACCCTAATTAAACCTCTCCAGCAAATCACAGCCACAGACCCCAATTCTTGCAGTTCAGCTTCCTCTTTCATGGTTTCTGGGCTTACCAGTGCTGCCATAGCTAAGAGCTACCCCACCCTTCAGAGCCTCCTGCAGCCCAAGCTCTGCTTACTCACTTGGTGAGATGGGGTTGTCCTTTTGAAGTTCACGTCTTACTTCAACCACAGCCCTGAAAGAGCTTCTCCCATGTGGACTTGGCTGAACCCCAGGCAGATATTGTTGCTAAATAGCTGGTGATAGTCAGAGCTCAGTGAAAAAGCAAGAAGTATAGTAAAAGCATGAGTGCAAGGTCTCATGGTGAAAATGAACAGTCAATTGAGCCTTAGGCACAACAGTGTCTCTCTTACACTTAACACTCATTCTGACAGCACCTGGTGATGCAAACCTTTTATCTGCTGGCTACAGCCTCTCTCACAGCAGTGACTCAGCCGACCCTTTCCTACAAGCCTTGTTTGAGTGTGAATCTGTCCAAGTGGTCCTGGTAAAGTTCAGTCTCCTTAGATGAAGAAATTTCTTGGCTCTCTAGGAATGATTGCATCAAGCAAAGGCCAGGAAGAGTTACTCCTTGTTTGGGAAGAGGAGAAGCACTACTTCAGGCCTAAACTTGCTTCCTCCAGGAAAACACCTCCACACTATTCTTGCCTCTCCTTCCAGTCCTGTGTCCCCTCTCCTTGCTGTTTCATCATAGCAGCAATACTTGAGGAATTGCATTTGCTACTCCGTTTCTGTTGGATGGGGGTAGGGGAAAACAGAGCTGCAAAGGCTTTATGATGTTGCTGTTCATCAGTCTGTTCATGCAAGTAGGAAGTTTGGTTGGTGGTTTTGAAAATATTAATGTTTCCTTCATAAAGTGGCTTTCCACCTAATATTATGGTCACCCCCCAGCCTCTTCCTGCTGGCAGGAGGGCTCTGCCAGTGAGAGAAGCCACCCCCATGGTGCCACCCATAGCAACATGCTGTCTGCTCCCACAGAGAGCCAATCTGAGTAGGTAGCATTTAGAAAAATGTGAAATTAAGCAAAGCTTTAAAAGAAACAAACAGGAAAGCTTTTTCATCAGATCTGCTCTCTGTCAGTGCATTAAATGCTGCAATGAAGATTAAGCCAGGGTGAGGGACCAATTTATTCCCATCCTTGCATTGCCCCTACCCTGACTTTACCTGACTTCTGGCCAGGTGACACAAAGCACTCAGGCAAGGGTCTGTTGGGGAAACAAGGAGACTTCACTGGAAAAACTGAGGTGCACAAGGGCTCAGAGGGAGAAAGGGGCTCTGGAGGGCTGGCTGGAAGTGGTGCTCACAGGACTGGCCAGCTGCCAGCAGTGGCTGAAGCTACACAGAGCATTTCAGGCTTAAGACATCTAGGGAAAACTGTCAGGGAGCCCAAGAGCAAGGATGGCCAGTGACTATTGACAGCCCAGTCTGAAGCTCGCTGAAAGGTGAGTTTAGGAGCAGAGGGAATTGAGGTGACCCTCAGCAGCTACTCCAAGTCACACAGTCCCCATTTTTACCCTGAGCAGGAACACAAGGCTGGTTTTAGTCCTAACTCAGCCACTTTGCTCCAAACAGGAAACTAAGAAATGTGTTTATGTCTTCTTCAAGAGGAAAATAAAACAAAAACAGAGCAAAAGCCTCCACTTGGGATTACAGGAATGAAAGATGGGCAACAGGAAACAGTATTTCCAGTGCTGGGGAATGAAGTTGTTATGTCAACCAGCTGCTGTTGGCAGTCCCACATGGCATGATAAATGGAACTGGACTTGGTGTGGAAGCCAGCTGGCCTTCACCAGCCAAATCCTTATGGGAAGAGATGAAAGCTTGAGGAAGAGTTTGTGCACGCCCAAATGTGGGTGGCTTTGGAGAACCTCGGCTATCAGTGACCTACGTTTGCTGTCAGTTGGATGTTGTGAGCCACCAGCACTCTGAAACCACCCACATGGTTTGCCCTTGAGGACAGTAAGAGATTTCAAGGGAAACCTTTTCCTTTCAAGGGTGACCTCTTCCTTTCACACAATGCAAAACCAACGTCCTGTTCAGCTCAGTCTGAGATACAATCAGGGAGCAGAAAAAAGGAAGCAAGTGAGCTGGAAGAGCTGATGTCCAAAAGCCCTGGGTGTGCTCTTGAACTCACTGAGAGTTTCCCCTCACCTGATGCAAATAAAGAAAAGCCACTGAGAAACCACATGGACCCCTTGCAGCACATCTGAGCCAGTTACGTGCCTGGTGGAACCAACATCTCATTGACCTCTTCCAGTGACAGAAGGCTGAAAATCCCAGCAGGCAGCTTTGCTAAAAAAAAAAAAAAAAAAAAAGCATCATAAACACATTGACTGTGACATTTTGTACCAGAAATAGTGTGGCCAGCAGGACCAGTGTGTGATCATCCCCCCCATATTTGGCACTGGTGCAGCCACACCTTAAATCCTGTGATCAGTTTTGAGCCCCTCACTACAACAAAGGCATTGAGGTGCTGGAACATGTCCAGAGAAGGGCAGTGGTAAGGGTCTGGAACACAAATCTTATGGGGATCAGCTGAAGGAGCTGGATTTGTTTAGCATGAAGGAAGCTCAGGGGAGACCTTAGCACTCTGTAAAGTATCTGAGAGGAGGTTCAGCAAGGTGAGAGCCACCCTCTTCTCCCAGACACAAGATAGGACAAATGGAAACAGCTTCAAGTTGTGGCAGAGGAGGTTTTGATTGGATACTCATAAAAATTTCTTCACCAAAATGGCTGTCTAGACATTGGACAGGCAGTCCAGAGAAGTGGTGATGTTACCATCCCTGGATGTATTGAAAAGATGTGTAGAAATGGCACTTAAGGACATGGTTTAGTGGTGGACTTGGCAGTGCTGTGTTAAAAAAATTGGACTTAATAATCTAAAGGTCTTTTCCAACATCAATTATTCTATGATTAAATGTTACTGTTCTATCTTTGTAGCCCAGAGAATATGTAGATGGTGACTCCCTTGTTGCAGTGCTGGCAGCTCTGCAGGACAAAGAGCTGATTTCTGCATCCCAAAGAACATTTGAAGAAGCCAAAAGTAACCTTAAATAGTAACACTCTTGTAGGGACTTCACACGCTGTCCAAGGGGAGGCTTACATCTTTGTTTTAAGAAAGCAGTCTTTTTAGACAGGTAGACAACCACCTTTCCCTTCAGTTATAAATAGATTTTCTTAATAAAATTATGAGCTTGTACCTATTTTGGGGGCTAGTCAGATCATTAGATTGTTTAAAATTGGATGAGAAGGACTCTCTGATGGGCTGGGAGCAAATATACCAAGCAGAGTGGCTTGAGAACCGAAACAGCAACTTAGCCCCTTTCTAAAGGTTGGTGACAGTATCTGATGCAGTGGTGACAATGTGCCTTTAAAATACAGATGATGATTATTGTGTCCTTCTGTCCACACCTCTGTTTGCCAGCCTTCAAACCCAGCCCTTTCCAGGAGACAGGGGAAAGGCAAAGCCCACAGCAATTGATTTAATTGGCTTCACTGCCCTGCAATTTTTATCCTTTGCTGTACAGCTGGCATTTTGTTTACATGCTCCTGTATTCAATACAAATCAACCATGTTTGAAAGGGACAGGAATATTGCTCTCAGATGTACTAGATCTTGGCCCTCCCCATAAGCTCTAATTTCCACAGATTAAGTTGTTTAGAAATCTGTGGATGTAATTAATAACAGCCAAAGGGCAGGAGTATTTAAGCAAAGAACAAAAGGAAAATTCTGTGTGAAATAAGCTTAATTTTTATTGTTAAAAAGATTATTTAAACAAATGTATTCAACTTCATCAGTGAAGTAATGGCTAAAATTACCAATAAATAAAATAAAGAGCCCTGAAAAACTCTCTCTGCTATTGTCTAGCTACTCCAAGGAGGTTTTGTCATCCCATGGCAGCTGCCCCAGTACAGCAGAAAAAATAAACTGGTTTTGGCCAGCAGATCCCCTCCAGCACACTGGCTTGTAGCTGCTCCCAGAGGAGCTGAGGGAGCAGAGGGGAGGCAAAGGAGCAGCAGCTTGGCTCCTGGAGCATTGCAACCACCCCAGTCCTGAAGAAAAGAAGGCTCTGGGGAAACCTTATCACAGCCTTTCAGGATGTCAAGTAAGCCTCGAAGTAAGGCAAGGACAAACTTTTTATCAGGGCCTGTTGTGATAGAACAAGGGATAAACTGGAGGAGGATCAACTTCAATCAGCTATAAGGAAGAAGTTTCTTACAATGAGAGTGGTGAAACACTGGAACAGGTTGCCCAGAGAGGTGGTAGATGCCCCATCCCTGGAAGCTTTCAAGGTAAAGCTGGATGGGACTGAGCAGACTGGTGCAGTTGAAGGTGTCTCTGCTCATTGCAATGAGGTTGAACTAGAAAATTTTTTAAATTCCCTTCCAACCTAAAACATTCTATGATTTGAGCATCCCAGAGATTTTGGGAACTCAGAGAGAAATCAAAGTGCAGTACTCACTTCCTGTAGGGACCCCTAAAGCAGGAAAGGGTCCCAACAAAGAGGCAGTCACAGCTGGCACTGCAGCCTGAGCTCCTGACAAGGATAGCTGAATGAGCAGAAAATTATCTGAGTGAGAGAAAGTGAGGGAGTGGAAAAACAGAGGGGAGATGAATGAGAAGAGCAGGAGAGAAGAAATCCCTCTCACAGGTCCTCATAGCACCTCCTCTGAAGGGCTCTGTAGGCTCTCACCCACCTGCCCTCAGGTTTGTACTCACAATGAAAAGTGATACGTTGTACAAAAACATTACTTAGTTTCCTTCTTTCCTGTCGCTAAATCTTGGCTGGTGCCTTCCTCACCAACAGCTCTTTTTCACAAAGGTTGTCTGACACTTGCTCAAACAGAGCTGGACTTTTCTTTAAGCACATCCCTCTCGCTGGCTACAGGGCTGCTGGCACACTGAGGGGGTGAAGCTGCCAATTGCCCAAGAGATCAGAATTTCAGCACAAAGCAGAATTAGTAGGAAGGTGGGTTGGGATGGAGGCAGGAGGAAGCAAAGCCATGTGGGCGTGAAATGCTGGAGGCGGTGAATGATGGTGAGGATGGGTGAAGAGGGCCTGGCAGCAGCAGACAGGGTGCAGTACAAGCAGGGGAACAAAAATGGCAGCAGGTTTGGCCACAGATTAGCTGCCTGCTCACCTTCAAGGCCACGTAGTGTGCCACTTCTACCCAGGCCTTCCCTTCTGGCAGGTTCCCAGCTAAGCCTGGCACTCATCCCTACCTGTGTGGGAGGGGGTGTCACTGCTTATTTTTTGATGGTGGCATTAGAAATCAGTCTTCAGAAAGGCTGCTTTAGTTCTACTTTTATTTTTCTTCATGTTTGAATGTTTTCAGGAAGATTTAGGTTAGTCTAGTTTGTTTTGGTTTTGGGGGGTTTTTCTTTCATTTTGGGGGCTGTTTGGTTGTTTGTTTCTTTGTTGTTGTTTTTTTTTTTTTTTTTACACTTGGGTAAAGAAAGTATGAGCTATGCTAAGAAAGGCCCTGAAAACAGGAAGATGTATCAGCAGCAGAAGAGCCTCTGGCTCTCTCTGCTGTGGAGTTTTCAGCCCTTCATGGATACATCTGCCTTTGAGAGAGCTGACAAGAATTAAAGAATAATATTATTTAACCTGAACAGCACACGTGGGCTTGCCTGTTCCTGCAATTACACACTCAGGAAATTAATTTTGATAACTGCTCCTGAATACCTTCCTGTGGAAACAAAACCTGGCTGGATTTCTTTCCTCTTCTATCACTGGGGAATCCCAGAGGGGATACTTAGAGGCCCTGAAAGCATGTTTTGAAACCACCATGAGACAGGAACCTTCACATAAGGAAGAACTGGATCCTTGCCCATCCCAGCTGGGAACACCAGAAACTGCTCTGTCTGGACGTGCTTTGGCTCTCAGGGATGTAGTGACAGCTTCTCCCATTCTGCCTTGGTGAAGTGGTCTAGATTGTGAAGGGAGGTGGAAATTGCGTGTGTGTGACTCGCCACAGAAATCCTATATTTCAAAACTGCTTAAACTATCCAGCATGGATTTTGTATCAGTGATTTATACACACACCTTAATATGAGGATTTTTTGTATCAGTTACCTAAATATGCTATTTGATATGAAATGTGTAGCTGCTGTCTAATTTCAAGTCAAAGACCTGCCTGAGAATTAAATCAGAACAAGAGGTAATTGCTTTGAAAAATCAGGCCTGATCCCACAGCTTTTCACAATCAGCATCACAAATTGGAGCCATCCAGTACTATTCACCAAACAGCCCAAATTTCACAAGACTAGCTCTCACTCCAGACAAGAACCCCAAGCTCTTTTGAGTATTACAGAAGAAACCACAGATTTATTTTTCTTTTGTTTTCTGATGCACATATGAAGTTTTAGAATTCAACAAGTGACTCATGCTAAGAGTTTCAGATGTTTCTGGCTGTGGCCCACCTTAGGCTTGCCTGACAGCAGTGGAAGGGGGCAGGAGAGGTGATGGTTCCCTTCCTTTCGGGACAGGGAGCCACTCAATTCCCACCTGCAAGCAACCTGCTCCTGTTGTAGCACAGACTGCCCAGGTCACCCACGCCAGGTTGGGAGTAAGGGAAACGCATTCAGTATGGAACCCAAAACATTGGTAGTGAGCACAGCAAAGTGGCAAATGAAAACTGTCCATCAGCTGCTCATGCGAGCGCTCAGAAGCCTGAACTTGTTCCCTGGCTGCACACGGGGGAGTCTTCCCTTTGCTACCTGGACCTTATGCTCTCACCTTGGGAAAAGCAGTAGGGAACACTCTGCTGAGCATGCTTGGGCCAAAGTCGTCCTTTGATTCATCTCACTTGACTTATAAAAGATCCATCTAAATGATGCAGCTCCCTTGAGTGCTGTGACAGTCCAGGTAAGGACAACCACAGGAAAAATGTCCAAATATTTTAGCTCCCATGTTTTTTTTGGGGGTTTTTATGAATCTACTATGAAAAAGGACAAAGGGAAAGATTACTCATTTTCTGTAAAACTACTAATTCTCTTCTGAAGAGACAGTTCATCCAGTTGATTCTCCTTCATCCCAAACTCACACCCTATGACTGAGAAGCAGAGAGAAAAATTGTACCCCTATTTTGCACACGTAACTCCAACCATTCAGAATGAACCTGTTTTCCCACTATCTATGTTTTCTGCCTTTTTCTGCCTTGTATCAGTCCTAGCAAAGTGATACATGGGAAAGTAAACCAGGACTTCACAACTGCTTTCCCTAGTGAAGTATTTAAAGCTTAAGGTTCCCACCTATTACCATGACAGGAAGGCATTTGTACAGTGAAAGTGGAAAGAGGAAAGGAAGCCCTTCCTTCCTTTTCCGTTTACATGTTTTTAAATTATCAACACTAGAGCAAAGTATAAAATAATGGCTTGATAGAGACTGTCTTTATTCCTGCCAAATCTTTTCTCTGTAAAAGAGCTAGGAGGATGAACTCTAATGTCTTCTGTGTGACTAGTGTGCCAAACTCACCTTTCCACGATTCCTCTACTGAAACAATTGTGAGTTTAAACTATACTTGCATTTCTTACATTTCCTAACCCACATTCCATAGTAGTGATGACAGACAGAATGATAGACAGAAAATACAAACTCACTGTAAGATGCAGCACCACACAAAGGACGATCAGGAGGAGACCAGGAGGAAGGCAGGTTTCATATTCCCATACTTTTTGGCTTCTCTTACCAGACTCCTTGCAAGACAGGGCAGGAATAAATCATTATCAGTGATAGCAGTGCTGGCACAGTGCAGCTTTCTGTCCAGAAACAGCTGATTGCATCAAACAGCTCATCCTGGCTAATCAAGGCAGAAGTCAGAGGGGGAATTCCTGTACTTACTACGTATCTAGACAGAGTTGTTGAGCTTCAGGAGGTCTCCACAAACATCTCCCTCCAGCTGAGAGGTCTCAGCACACTTTTCCAGCCACAAGTTGCATTGCGTCCAAGAGAAGGAAAATGTTAAACTTCTATCCTGGGTTATTCAAAGCCTCTCCTGGTGTTAACCTGGGGCTTTTCTAAGCACCTCCACCTGTGGTGAGAAGAAATAGGAGATGTGCTGGGTTCATATCTCTCACTGTGTGCTTAGTGAACAAGGGGACTTTCTGCACCTGTGTCTAGATTGGAGAATGGAATAATGGAATTGTTTAGGTTGAAGAAGGCCTCTAAGATCATTGAGTCCAAACATTAACCCAACACTGCCAATGCCCCCAGTAAGCAATGTCCCTAAGCACCACATCTACACTTTTTTTTTTAAATCTTCCAGGGTTAGTGATTTCAACAATTCCCTGGGAAATCTGTTCCAATACTTGACAACTCTTTAGTGAAGAAGTTTTTCAAATATCAAATCTAAACATGCCCTGGTGCAACTTGATGTCATTCCCTCTTGTCAATTGTTACCTGGGAGAAGAGACCAATGCCCACCTGTACACAACCTCCTTTCAGGTAATTGTATTATCAGTAGAGACTACCAGGGCAGACAGAGTGCTGAAAGCAAACCTGATCTATAAACTCAGACCTTGTTTGCCTTATGACCTGCCCTGAACTTGATTTGGCCACATCTCTGTGAAATGGTGGTGCTGTGTCAGCAGTGATCACTCCAAAAGTCAGCATTGAGCCAGCTTACTTTTCCAGCTTAAAAACAGGTCACATTCACATTGCATTTGCATTAACCCCAAAGCAGTGAACAAGGAAATTACTTTCATACAGGTCTCTCCTCACAAGAAGGGGGTCCGATGTTATCCCTATTTTACAAATGAAACAAACAGGAAGACCACAATTTGCTGTAAAATCAAGCACATGTTCCCTTTTTTACTCAGCATGAAGACACCCAAGAAAGGTTTACAACATAGTCTGACAAACTAAGACAGCTGGAAGATCACAGAGCCCACGCTGTTGAGTTTGCTGGGCCCCAGACCTTCTCGAGGAGCTGCTCATGGTCTGTTCATATGGACCAAAGTGCTCTGTATGCCCTCTGTATGCTACAGTCTGTAGAGACGGGTGGACGTTGGACAATGCCTGCACCCACTAAACCATTGGTGGCTCACACACAGCCACCAGTCCCTTACTGGAACCCATCATCCTCACACCATAGGCCACAGCTCCTGCCATCCACTGCCAAGGGCATTTGGATGTCATTTTGTGTGGGCTTAGAAGGACGAGCTTCATGCTCAGGTGTCCTGTCATACATCACATTAGCTGCTCCAGCAGCTGAGAAAGGACAGTCAAAATTGATTAATGCTGTTTTAACACTAATTATGTTTGTAGAGCAGTGCTGCAAAGGAGCCTTTTGACAAGCGCGTCCTTCCTCGGCTACATCATTTTTCCTTTCCTTTGCCTTCCAGAACCACACACTTCTTTTCATTAAGAGAAAATGACAGAGCATTACAGTCTGTCAGGACAGAAAAAAGCAGTTCAAGGTCATTGTGTTGTTCACTTTGACTTTTCCTCCCCATTTCTTCCAATGTATAGAATATTCAATCACTGCCCTGTGGAAACTGACCTTAATTCCTCTCTGAAAGCAACTGCAGAGGTGGCTGCCTGGAACAGTTCTTGTTGCAAAGAGTCTTTCCTTAACACAGTGCTTTGAAGTCTTTGTCACCTCAAACAGAGGAAGTCAGCAACTACAGCCACTCTACAAACCATACAGGCTTTTACAACTGAAAAAGTGTGTTTTCCACAGAGATCCGGCTACATTCTCTCATTTACCTTTGATCTTCTAATGCAATGGGAAAGTAACTCCTCAAGAGAAAAGGAGGATTACATACAGGCAGGAGGAGAGCTGGGGGGAAGTTGTAGCTGGGCAGAGGAAGGATGGTCATTGGCAGGGACTCAGTTGTACAAATCAGAAAGCAGAGACTGGAATAATGGATGCTGGCGGCACCATGAAATTATTTGGTGGTATCTTTGAGCCAAGTGCTAGGAAGATGCCAACAATCACACATAGCAACATCTACTTCTATCAGCCTAAGTAATTCACTTCGTCTCACAGAATCACGTCAAATATATTAAATAATTATGACAATGCCAGGTTTTAGTGTTGGTAGTAGCAATATGGAAATATCCCACCACATCCCTGGGGTGGCCTGAGTTCAGACAATCTTTTGCAACAATCACATTACAAATTCTTCCTTCTTGCAACTTAATTTTTCCATTTCATGTAACTCCATGGGTTGCACTCTCCCCTCTGAAATGTCTTGTACTGAAACCCACTACTTGGCTGTTTCTTTTTCTTCTCACCAAACAGTCTCTCATTTTGATTCAACATATATTTTTTCAAACCAGATTTTTTTTTCCCCCAGCAGCATTCAAAGCAATAGGCAGCACATTCAACTCATAAATGTTCTGACATGGCAACAAACAAAAATTTTGCCTGTATTGAAACAAAGGCCTGAGATTCACCTAAGGTTTTAATTCACTGTAATGCTATAACGACTCCAAGGAAAAAAATGTAACCTCATCAATGTGTAGCAGCAGCATTGGATGCCTAGGCCAAGTGCAAGCACCCAGCTTGGAAGGCCATGTCCTTCTTACCCAGCAAGGAAATACAATTTTGCTACACAGAATGGCATTTACCCTCTCCTCCTTCCCAGCTTCTGGTGTGCCCTCTCTCCAGGAAAAAGTTTCAAATTTTCCAATTGTAATTTGATTTATTTTGGCTCATAGAAAAGTCCCTCTGCTTGGGTTCCTAGCAGCGAGAGAGCGAGGCAGGGCAGCGGGGCTTGGCTGCCACCTCCTGGTGTCTGCTCGTCTTCTTCCTCAGATACACACCAAACCCCACCGAAAACAGAAATCCCAAAAGTAAAAATAACGGGCACAGCCCTGTGGCTCCTCAGGTGGAGACCCCTCTAATTCGGCAGGAATAAAACAGACTTATCATGTAGAAGGATGTTGAGCTTGAAAAATTAATACAGTTTTAATGTATATGAATATGCATATGTTCATAGGTTTTAAAAATATGAAAGCTTGTGACACACTACAGAAGCAGTTAGCATGTTGTACACAGGAGCTACAAGGCTTCCATGAATGTTTCTTCTTCAGCTTTAGAAAAAACTTAAATGTATTTGTTCTAGAGAAAAGCAATGAAGAAATAAACTTTACTAATTCTTCCTCCTTTTTTTGTCCTCTTCCCTGCTTGTGAGGAGAATAGAAATTTTTCCCATTTTATCCTCCAAACACTAAGTATATCCACTAAACACAATATTTCAGGGCTCTCAGAACACTTTGCTTTATTCTTGATATATACTTTGAGCCAAGTGCTAGAAAGATGCCAACAATCACACATAGCAACATCTACTTTTGTCGTAGATGTGAAATCCTGGGAATTTCAAAACTAGAAAACAGTGGTGTCAAAGTATTCTTGATTCATGGCCACAATGCAAGCCTAGGAGAAAAAATTCAAAAGATATTAAGACATTTATTTTGTATGCAGCAAGTGACTCTGAGGCTTGGGACTGCATGGACATCTGCTTGAGGAAAGATAATGAGAAAAATCCATCAAATTAGTTTTCTCACATCAGCATTCATGAAAGACAGTACTTCATAAAACCTTCAAGATCAACAAGTCACCATGACTCCTCAAGGACGTTAAAAGAACAATGAATTTCCCAAAACAATAGGACAAAGGAAATATTTTTTTATTCAAAACAGCAGTTCTGGGCCTTGATGTGCCATCACTCAGCTGAGACAGGGAAACAATTAGAGGAGATTCTATCACATCTTGAATCCACCCAGACAAGCTGAAATCTGCCCATCACAGATGAATGTAAGAAAGGCCAGGCCAAGAATTGTAAACTGGCAATTTTCAGCAAGGAATCTGCAGTGAAGTCTGCTAAAGCCTGGCCAGCATTTGTCTCTAATTCAAAATCATTCCTATTGAGGAAAAAACCCCACCCTCGTCCTCCATATGTGGATGTCAGAGTACAGAAGGGATTAGCTGCTACTAAGAATAAGACCGACGTGCACTGTGACGACAGCTGGATAACAGGCATGAACAATTGCAACCCCCCCATGTGCACTGAGCACTGGCTGAAGTCAGAAAAATGTGTTTTCCTATGGATAAACCTGGCCTGATCCCAGGCCCCTTCTGCATACAGATCCCTGAGCCCAGCACGTGTGAATCAATCTGGCGTTTGGCATTAGAGATAAAGCTACAAATACAACATTGTTAAGAGGCTTTCCCTGTAGTTAATATCTGCTTCTCTGAGGTGCTGTTCCCAGTGTGACCAGTAACTCTCTGTGCCTTTAGAGTTCTTTGAACCGTCTTACAATCTGGCATATTGCCATGTTTGGGAGACTTTCCAAACAACTTATGCAATTTTGGTAGCAAATCCAAATGCAAATACCAGCAACCTAGACACACCTATTATTTTCTTCAGCTGGTTTGAAAAGTCATAGAAAGGCAACACAGCAAATGAAAAGCGCTGAGTAAAGGGGTATTCTACAAGAAAACCCCCTGGCTATCCAGACCATTCCAGCTCCAAAGGAATGTACATCCAATATTTCAGTCAGGAATTGTTAAAATGAAGTCTCTCACCACTGGTAAGCTGAGATGGGGGTGCAAACTATTTGGTTGATTGCTGCTTCGATAGCACCCCTATGAGCTGGGCTCCACTGTGCAAGTGCTACACCAAGATGTGGTAATGTGCTGGAGAATCTCTCAGATAGATTCTGGCCTTGTTATCACTTCACATTTCCATATCCACAAGTTAGGAGACTGTTGTCTTGCTGGGCTTTCTGATCTGGACCACCATCAAATTCCTGCACTTCCCTTTCCTCCAGCTGCAGTAACTGGAGGATAATTTCCCTGACTAGGACAGCAATAAATTCATCTTTGCATAAGCTTCTTCCCCCTACCTTTAAGTGGCTGTGCTGTGCTCCAGGCTGCTCTGACAAACGCACTACATTGCCACAAACAGCAGAGAAAAATGTTATCAGCCAAATAGAAAGGTGATCTCTTCCAGAAAGTTCTGGAGGCCATTTCTTTTAAACACAAAACACAGATAAAGAAGTTAAAATAACTCTCTGGCAGACAGTGCAGTGCCAGTTTAAAAAAGCTCTTTTGCTGTTGCTCATTGAATCCTAAAGCTATCCTCTTTTATCTAGTGCTATCAACACTTTTAAGCCATGAATATTATGTAAGCTATATATGATGTTACACACTCATAAAGTTTTACACTAGGTCAGCATTAACAGCCCTGTACAGATGATGCAGTCATGCACAGCTTTGTTTATGCAAGAGATGACCTGGCCCCTCTCTGTATGAGGAAAACTTGATTTGAAGAAGGTTCTTCAGCCCACATAGACCATCATACTATGCCCTAAAACCTCTGTTTCTCCTGTGAAGAGGCAGAGAGAGGTTTATAATGCCCACAAAGTATGCTTTGCAGACAGGTAATTCAGCTTTTTAGATTAGGTAAAAAAACAATTACATTAAAACAACTGGTTTAATAGTCATATTCCTCATCACATCATCCTCATTCTTCTTTGCTTTAAACCATATTGATTAAAAATAAAATAAGAAAAAAAAAGACACAAACCCCAACAATGGGTGTAAACACTATGAGCTTCCTATGTATCTCCCTCTCTCCCCACAGCCCCTGTGCTCTCCTGCCCCATTCTCACTAGCTAAGAAATGTTTTTGACATGTGGTGTAAAAATAATAATTCCACTGATGGCAATGAACACCTTTTTCAACAGACACCTCTGCAAGGAATATCGCAGTTTGAAAGCTCATCTGTTTTTTCCTCTGAATGGATGGTGTTTACCCTGCCTTTACTACAAAAGTCCAGCAAAGAGCAGGGTCAGCACACCCCCTTTTCCTTCCTCAGCAGGTGAGCAATAAGACATGTAAAGAAGGATTAATCTGGACAAGAAGCTTTGTAGTGCAGCAGTGTAGGGAGCTCTATTCCTCTTGGTCAAACTGGAGGTAAATCCTGGATTTCCTCCCACAACGGGTATGCACCAGTTTTCAGATTTTAATAGCTTTCTTCAGTGCAGCCAGAAAATCGTTTGATGGAGAGACTCTTCCAGGAAAGTACAGCCAGCTCTGGCAGCAAATACTCAGCAATTCAACATTACGTAAGACAAAAAAACCACGTTATACCCTATCAGTTGTCATCCTCCTGAGGCTTAGTGAATAACATTTCTATTTTATATATATCCAGAATATATATACACACACACAAATAACATTAGTGAATAAGCCAAAATATTAAATACTGCCCTACCATACAGGCAACCTATACTTGCAAGAAACATGGTCTGGAATACAAATTGAAGCAAAATTCATTATGCCACTTGCTTTGCAATCTCTGAGATGCCACAGGAGCTTCCTACCTTCAGTTAAAGTGTGGGGTGGGAAAGAGAAAGAAGAGCAGAGGATTAAATTTAAATCTCCTAAATTGAGCCAAGGACAGAATTACCCATGATGGAGCTCAGCTAAGACAGACGATCCTCTCTGCTGCTCTCTTTTGTAATCATCTTTCCTTTCTCTCGAAAATAGTATTAAAAATATAGGGAAAATACGTGTTTTGCATCTAAAGATAAAAATATTATCTGTTAAGTCTCTAGAAATGAATTTACACAATTTTTGGATGAAACACACCGTTACTACTGACTGCAAAGCAGAAGTGCAGAGCACTGGCAGCCAAGGCTGTCACTGCAGGTGCTTGTGCCTAGAGCTGCTTCTGCCACACCACCTCATACTCTGCCCTCCATGTTCCATCTCCAGCTTCAACTGTCATAACCATGTCCATTGGGAGCCACCTGTGTTTAAAGAACACTTGTGGGTTTTGTGCTGTTTGATGAAAACTACGTCATTAGTTTGCCAACTATTTTTTCTAGTGAAATGACAAATCTACAGAGCCAGATTAGATCGATTATGTCTTTTACACCACTCCCTAAATAAGATGTTATTTGCGTGAGAGAGGCAGCAGGAAATGGCAATTTATGTAAATGTATTTTAAAATAGAGTAAAATTATTTTATTTAGTTTTCATTTCTGAACAGTATTTATCCACCAAGGATGAATTACAACTCCAGTACCAAGATTAAAAATAGTCTTTCATAATTTGCTTTGATAAATTATAGATTTTTTTAATGTCAAAAATACTCACCAACGCTGAAATAGTTTAATAAAGTCTAACAGAAATGTCATAATCTGTTCAAACTACGTCTGAGAAAACTTAGGTAGAGGTACCAGTTGCAACATGAACATTTACCTGCCAATTGAATAAATGACTTAAAAATTCCTCAACTATCTGCATTTTAGCTCAGTTATGCAAGGTTAAGTTCTTTTTCAGTTCAGTTTAATGCCTAAATAAATACCAGAGAATACAAAAGCAAAAAAAGTTTTAAATGCCACAGGTCAACCATTAAAAGAAGACTGCTCCCAGCTTCAGCAACTTTTGCTTTCACTCCTTTATGAAACTTCATTATAATTGGTCAGCAGAGCCAAGTAGAGAGATTAGGGCAGAATGTCTGTTCCAGGCTTAATGGTAATGCAGACACAGCCAAGACTAGCACATTTTTACACAGGGCTTCTGTATTCAGCTTTTTTTGCAAAAAGGAAATACTTTATCCCTTTGAATCCACACTGGCAGGTAGACAAGTATTTTTTGGCTAGTACATGCTAGGAAGCATTTACTTTCTTCTTATAGGTAGAGCAACCAGAAAAATACTTCTGCAGGAATTGCTCCGTCATGCCACAGAGCAGACAGGTTCGAGGCGCTCAACTCCAGCTCCTGGCAGCCCTGCAGATTTCAGCCAGACTGGGACAAGAACCACTCTGCTTCCCCACAATGATTCTGACAGCAGGAATTTTGAGGTGAGGTAGCTTAACAAGAGCTATACTATTGATTCCAAATTTCTGATTAAAAACACCCAAAAGACAGCAGACTACCTTTCCACAGGACACCTAATTTCAGTAAAAAAAAGTATTTTTGCTGAAATTTTCAGAATTGTGATTCATTCTTTTCCTGCAGTGAGGTTTCCAGTCTTTCACTTTCATCTTTTAAAAAAGTATAATTACAGCTCATTGCACTTTTTTATTCTTATTTGTTTATGTAAATCCTACTCGGACTGAAAGTCAACCAGCATTAATGGCATTGAATAATGCATTGAATTAATGGCATTCTTCTTGAATAGATACTCTCAATACTCCTAAAAGAAGGCGCTTATTCTTGTTCAAAAGACATTATCTGCAGAATTATTTTACAATTTAATTCTTAAAAATGACTCAATTCAGACTCCAAAAACAGGTGCCATTTTGCATCACTCAAGTCTTCTCCTCCTTCTAGACATTCTTGGTGTTAAAACTGCCATTAAATATTTTAATACTTCAAATAGAAAACTGGTCTTCAGAACAATCCTACTGCCAACTTAACAATGGACAGAGCACAATTTAATTTGGATTTTAGGGTCTTGGAATACTGACCCAAACTATGGAAAAGGAACGTACATGTGTTAGAACATAGACATTTTAGGCTTTATGGTCTGGGAATATCAGTGGGGAAATAAACAAAGCACATTTTTGAACAGGCATAGCACTTCTGAAGCAGTGCCCCCTGCCTGCATAAGAACATGGTATGAATTCACATATTCTCAAAAAGAATAGGGTCACAAAACTTTATGTATTTCTGTAGCAAGCCTATTTTCTTGAGGCAGCTTGTGGGACTCAACTTGAAAAAGAAAGCGGTTATCCTCCTTCTATCTAGCCAGTATCTACATTCAAAATTTTCAACATTCAGAATAGCTGGATTCAAGAAGACAGACTGCACACTCATTTGTAATATCCATTCCAGCAGTTCAGAGACCTCACCACCAGATATTTGGGGCAACATCAGATCCTGTTCCACAAACATACTTGCAGGTGAAAGAAAACCATGCCAAAAATGTTATTCTTTATGAATTATTTTAATTAACTGAATATGAAGTGACAAACACAGTTCAAGGAAAAAAACACAAAACCAGCCCCACCAGCTGCTGACAGAAGATAAAGATACAAGAATAGCTGAGGACAATTTGAGGGCAAAGAAGAAAGCATAGTGAGAGATAATCATTCTTGCCAAGAATATCAACCAAATAACCAAATCACATAATAGTTTAAATTCACGTCAAGTGCTTAAATAAGGTCTCTGTTTTTTTTCTTAACACTGTGAGTACACAGAACAATAGGGAATGGGCTATCCCTGAATTTTTGACATCAGGTCCTATAGAGCATATTCCAGATTTCTCCAAATACTGGAGATAAAGGTGGCTAAAAAGAGAAGCAGAGAAAGTGAAGACCCTTTGTTTACCCAGCCAGGTGTCAGATATGGAATGTGTTTTCTACCCCAGAATCTTTGGCATAGGTTCTTTTTCAATGTCTGCGCGAGTGCTTTAATCCCATGACTGTGAAGGTTGCTGCAGTCAGTTTCTCATACACTAGAAACATAAGAGCAGCAGTAAGGACTGTCTGCAGGAGCTTTGCTTCAAGGCCTTTGTAGAGTCCCACTAATCCGAAACGCCTAAGGAGGAGAAAAAAAAAACCAAACAAGAAAACAAGCATGAATACCTTTCTGAAAGTAATTCAGTACACTACAAAGAAGAATCAATATCACAAGTTAATGACCAACTGTAGGAATCTTAAACCCAGTCTTGACCTTGAGCAAGCTATGTTTAGTAGTATTTTAAAGAAAAAATTCTGCAGAAATTTAAGGTATTTTGTGCAAGAAGCCTGCTTCCTTTCAAGTTCAGAGGTGGAATTAATTAGTATCCATATGTATCCTTATGTATCCTTGATGTCACTTACTGTACAGACATTTAGGATTGTGGGCTCTACAATGTATTACAAAAAACATTTTGACTCAAATATCAAGTTTAAGGGAGGCATAAGGAAACAAAATCCAGACCCAGCAACGTTTTCAAAATATCAATAATATGCAAGTCTTCTCTATTGTGGTAGGATAAGTAACATGCAAAAGCTCACCTCACTCTCTGTTGAAGAAGGTAAAGAACATTTCTAAGACTGCCCAGTGTTCGGTTCTCTGGGTTCAACCTGTGGCGTCCGAACTGAAAAAAAGGAAGAGTATTTTGTTGCACTGTATTATTTCCCCACTGTGCTTAGCAGAGAACACCATACATGCATGAAATCTGGAGAGCCTATCCTAAACATCTTTGAACATTTTCCACATTTTATGACTATCAGTAGAGAACAGAGGCCAAAGCTCACACTGCAAACATTAAAACTGTACGTACTATTCTAATTTGGTTTGGTTTTAAGATGGATTCTAGCAAATATTTCCTCTCTTTCAGTTGCTCTGGAGGAAGCAGTTTTCAAGATCTCAACAGCATAATTTGCAGAGTCTTAGTAGGGATATGACACTCAAAGCAAGTTCTTTCTGGCTTTATCAGCTTTCACTTCACAAAGATTCAGACCCTCACACATCTGCAAATCACTAATACACTGAGATTACATAGCTGAACACAAAATTTATCTGCCCAGCAATGGTCTTGGAGCACTTAAGTGTGAACAGCTGCGGATGAACTCAAACTTGTTTCATCTACCTACCTGGCCCAAATTATATTTCTCTTTTACTCACTGCACTTGCTTATCCCCAAGCTGGTTTTCAGTAGGCATGATAGCTGCTGCTGTAGAGTTAAACTCGCAATTTCAGCAACTCCTTTTCTAGCATTCATTGATATTTTATTTGATACAGGTTGATAGTACTGTCAGCAACCTGTAACAATGCATTATTAATATACAAGAGCCGGCACACTTGTATTTGTAACAGCATAGCCTATTAGCTTTTGAAGGCTGTATTAAGATTCTGTGCTAAGAAAGGTGAACTTGAGCAACTGCACGTTGGATGAGTTTTTCCCCAGAACATTTTCAGGCAACTGCTATTTCTTACATGTAAGAAATTACCATTGACAGTAGGTAAAGTTTGGCAGCACCAGCAGCATGCTAGCAGAATGTTAGCAGAATCTCCTGTTATTACGTAAATATACACTCAAAATTCACAATCTTCTCATCAGCAACTACCCATCTGATATTGACAAATCAATGTTAAGAACTATTGTCACCAACTCAGACACGCCCCCCAAAAGTTGCTAAGTAGGTTCCAAGTTACAGTGTCAGTCATTGCCCAAATTACTCATAGGCTTCCACACGACACCACCATTACGTGCCTCATTCTCCTCTTTTCTCCACCACTGGACAATTTTTGTACTACAAACAAAGGGTTATTAAGAGAGAAGAAAATCATTAATTTTTCACTAGGATGCTAACACTCCAGTGTTTACTGCAGAAGACTTCCCAAAGGGATTAGCATTTTCTATGAAAGAGAAAAAAATACTTCAGTTTTAAAGAGAACTTTATCATCTGGGATCACTGAGAACATTAATGGTATTGCTGTACCTCCAGAGGCAAATTTAATTTATCTGCTCTTTACTGACACATAGGCTAAAGAAGAGTTTCACTACATGAGTAACACCAGTGTCACATAGTTTTAATGACTGGGAGAAGGACATACCAAATGGCAAAGCTGGAAGCTGCTACCATTATCAATTACACAGAATAACTGTTCACTATATGGCAGTTAGAAGAGAACTGTGACAAAGAGTTGAAAGCAAAGGTGTAGAGACTTTATACAAAGAGCCCTAATAACTTTCAAAAAAGAGTAAGTTTCTAAAGGTTTAAAGTTAAAAAGAAAAAAAAAGTCCTGTACTACTTTGATGACAGAACTTAGTTATGATGTGTAAGTTTATATTCATAATATTGAGCTTATATTAGTTTGTGTGCAAATCTGCTAAAATTGTTTTAAAAAGCACCTGCAACTATATGGCTTTTTTCATGCAGAATATTAGTTCTGAAAATATTAAGCCTTTACTCATAAGCTTTTTTCCAACATCACTTAGTGTGAATGACAAAAACTTCATCAACTACAACAATGCCAGCTTTAGATTAGAAAACACATCACAAAATAGAGCAAGTCTGAAATGGACAGCACAGATGTCAAAGACATTTTTACTGTCCTCAACAGATGTGTTCAGGGCTCCTGGCTATTCTTTCAGAAAGCAAAGAGACAGAAGTCATCCCTAAGTGACTGCAGAACTAGAGACAGGGACCTTGTGCTCCCCATCATCACAGGGAGAGGATGGACTGGCACTGGATTTCTTTTTTTTTTCTTTTTACATTGGCATTAAGAGTCAGAAAAATTTTGTTCAAAAAGCTAAATAGAGACAGAAAAAACACGAAGCCTCAAGATTGTAACCACTTCTCTAAGAACCATGGAAAGGAACAAGGGCTGAAGCTGTTCAGTGGCTGCAGCCCTCTGAAACCTGCACTGCTGTGCAATGCTCAAGCTAAAACAGAGCACTCGAACTTTACTTCCAGTTCTCCTTCACACCAGGAGAAAACAGGAGCATCACAAATTAAAAACAGACTGATGTTGCAATTTATTCAAGCAGAGCTATTTTTGTTTAAATGTTTTCCTGTATCTGCCACTCCAGTAAAAGAAGTCTGTGTGATTAGTTTAGCTACTACTGAGATGTGTCCAGGCTGTTAAAACAGGATAAGGCATTGAAAGAAAGCACTAGTTCAGCTGATCAAAAATTACAAAAACTTCAGAAAAGATGACTGCTGACAAAGTTACACAGTAAGTATATTCAAGTCCTCTTGCTTTGAAATATAGCATCCTATCTTTTTACAGATTACAAAAAATCAAGATACCTTTACTGCACTCTAATTAGAGAGCTACAAATTATTACAAAACTTGCTTGAAAATTACTTTTTTCAGATGAACAATTAACATAAAAATTCCCATCTTAGAGAGGTCTGAAAAGTGATATTCTTAGCACAGAAGACTTGTTTCCAGTAATTCAACTCATTCTCCAAATTTGTCCAAGTGTTAGAACATACACAATGGCTTTACTGTACAGGCAAGTTAAGGCTCCTCCTTACTTCGGAAAATATATTTCATGTGGAAACACATTAATATTTAACACACAAATTAAAGTACAATATGCTTATGCATGGCCAGGTCTCCTTCCCTCCTACTCCCCAATTTTGTCTTGTGTCAATATTACAACAACATTGGTACACTCTGAAGGCAGCAGCATTATCCAGCCTCTGTACAAATCGCAAAGAAGAATAAATGCAAGTGTTTCCATTACCACTACAATTAGTCTACATGGCCAGACAAGTTGTTAAAGGTATAATTTATGAGGGAGCTCAGCTTCCCCTGATGAATCTTATCCTGGATACTGACAAGGTCAGACCACCATCTAAACAAAAAATCTATGAACCGATTTTTTTTTTTTTAATTACCATAGGCTATCTGGAAACAGACTGGTTTTAGAAGATTTAATTTTAACTTCCCACTTGAGACATTTTCCATTTATATTCCAAGAAATAAATATACATTTTTGTAGTGCCTAAAAGCAGTTCAATGCATCAGCTTCTGTGGGATACTGTACCAACACAATACACTGGCAATCCTACCAGCTACTTGAAACAAATGTGCACCAGTATACCAAGCTCAGTCAAAACCAAAGAGGAAAGTCATTCTAATCAGTGAGCTGCACTGGGAAAAATGCCTCCCAAAACAATAGGTCCATTAACACATATATAAAGAAGCCATGTGAACAAGGCTTGCATGATACAGACCAAGTCAGAGGCAGAGTTACCATGAAATGAAATTATTACTTACCCGCAGAATTGACTGAACTGTCTGCAGAGGATAAGTGAGGGTGGTGGCAACTGCTTTGGCTATTGCACCAATAACAAAAGCATCCAAAGATGTGAGCTGTTCAATAGATAAAGAAAAAATTTATTTCCACGTAGTACCAAAACAGCCAATTATCCATTTGTATTTGGGGATTCTGTACTGGTACCTGCTACCAGATTATCTAAGGATCTTTGGCATAAAGATTTCATGAAATCTCAGGGTCTTCTCATTTTCAAGAGCTGGTTATGGTTCAACTAATTTACTCTCCCACATCTTAAGGTTATTTGTAAATTCCACCGGTTTTTGCATTCCTCAATATAACTAGATTACTACAACACAGTTGATATAAAGCCACACAATCAGAGCACTTCAAAGCACCAAGAGCAGACAAAAGATAAGGAAGCATCATCTAAACATATCATCAATCAATAAGCATCTCAGTTTTTGCAACAGTGAAACCAAAAAAAGTCATATGGTGCTTGTGAAAAGGCGACAGCAAAAGATTACTTAAACGTCACTCTGTATTCCTGAGACATAATCACTACACTCCCAGGCAGAAGTTTAGTCTTGATGCCATAGGCTAAAAATCTCATCCCCTTTTAGTTAAGAACCCCTGCTGAAGCCCACACTTCTTCAGGATGCACCAAATACATTGTTACAGCCTATGCTGATTATATTGCATCTCAGTCTAACAGTGTGAATTAAGCACTGAACATAAACAGATGTCCATATTAAAACACGCTCAAATTATATTCTAAAATATATTGATTGCAATCAAAAATACACTCACACATGTACATCTTTAAAAAGGTCAACATGATATATTTAAGACAACCAGGAAACAACCAAATAGGAAAAAAAATGTTATTCAAAATAAAAATTACCATCCCTAGCTAAAAAAAAAAAATATTTCTCCTCTTCATTGATCATGGACAAAGAAACGCCCTAATTTGAGGTGGAACTAAGTAATTTAAAAGAAACACATAAATAAGTATGTTATTAGCCAACAAGAAAATAACAATGCAGATGGAAGCTAAGGTCATGATTCAAAAAATGTGCATAATGTAACTGAGTAGATCCATCAGGTACAAATGGGGGGCTACAGCTGCAGTATTAACTAAAGACAGTAAAAAACCCAAGCTTCATTGATGATGCAAAATCTCATGTAAAAATAATTTCACTATGTCTTGGGGAAAAACAAGATGGTTTGCTAACATAACGGTATGACCTAACATTCTAAAATCACAAATTAACAACAAAGCATCATATCTTAAAGATATATTATGTTATGATGTTATCTGAAAATGTAATACAAATGCTTTCCAGTTAGCTGGAACATAAAAGGAACATGAGTTCAGCTGAGATTCTATACCTTATATAGACAACGAAAAAGAGTAAGGAAAAAGAAGAGCAGTATAAAGCAGGGACAGAAAAGTGATTGCACTTCTATTTAGAAAATCAGGAAGGTATTGTTACAATGCTATGTTTAATTCTAGTGCCCATCCTTGGAAAAATTATATTGAAAAATTGAGGCCTTCAAGAAAAAAAGGCTATTATTTACTGCAAAAAGGGTTAAAAGCAGACTTCAAAACAGTATGTAAACACTTACAAAAGATATATTAGAATTGAAATCTCTGCTTTAAATCAAGGCCTGTGAACATATGCAAGCAAATGTGGACAAGAGGTTTAGTTCTATTTTAACAGGTAGAAGAATGTTTCACAGGAATTTATTCCCTAGGGACATGAAAGATTCCTCTCATTTCATGATACTCAACCCTTTTTAGACACACTATTAAAAAAAAAAAAAACACACTTGAAAACACAAGAACCAAAACCAAACCCACATTCTGAATTTGTTTAAATGATGCATATCAAAAAACCTGTCTTGTAACAGAACATATTCATCATCTGGCCTCAAAACATACTCACTTGCAGCTGCTTTTTCAAAAGCTTTCGTTTAAAGCCTTCATAAAACATAAACTGTATGGCAGGATTGAAGACCAGCAGCAAGGAGGGGAAAGTACCATTCCACAGAGCTAAGACTCCTTCATCTCGTACTATTTGATGAAAGGCATCTGAGAAAAAAGGTGAGGAAAAAGATCATTGACATTTTGAGTACACAACTCTGAATATAAAATATATGAGAAGTTGCTGTTAAAGCCTAATACTCAAAGTGTATAAAAATCTATTGCAGTCCTTTATGCAAACATTTTTATCTTCTATTTTAATCCAGAAGTAAGTGACAAAGGAGGTTCTTGTTTGCATCACCATTAACAAAACTTACCATCTGCACAGGCAGTCTCCTTTTTTTTTTTTTTGTTTTACAAGTGTGGCATCCACATTAAGGTCTTCCAAACCTTCTTCAAAATAACAGTAATGTTTATTTGGTTGGTTGGTTTTAAAAGGAGGACAGCCTGAACATGTGAGTGATTAAGAGATTAAGGTAAGTGAAGTTTAATTTTCAGACTGTCCAAACTCAGACTCCTAGCTACTACTTCATGGGGCTCACTACTGCTCCATTATCTGAATGATAACATATCTGCCCTTGCAAAAGATATTTTAGTTACATGGGTGCACACTGAAAATTCTTAATTACCATCACAAATAGCCAAGTCCAGTTTCCTGTAAAACTCAATGACTGCAAAGTGACAGAGTAGCATAGAGATTACAGGATGAAATCAGTTACATGAACAAAAGTCTTTGAAGTCCTTGATACATTTCATTTCATGAACTTCTCTTTGGCTGAAGACAACAACAGGTGCTTACCTATTATGCCTCTGTAATTGGTTGGTACAATGTCTTCATTTCTGAATTTTGCTCCCTGGAGCTTCAGGCGTGTGTTCACTACCCAGAGAGGCGTGGTCAAGAGTACATTCACTACTCCTAATGCAAAATACAGCACACAGAAAATCAGCATGAAACAGATGATCTCAAATGTTTTCTTTTCCCCTTTTCTCCCCCTGATTCACATGCTACTGAAATTTCTGGTAGGAAGAAGGAATAAAACTAACACAGCATATGGGAAAAGTAAATAGTAATCTGCACCCTAATTCCTGTAGCCTTTGTTCCAAAATATACTTACATGGAATTTTACCAGACATATAGCCAGCTTAAGAATTTCCTTCCTTACTTGCACCAGCTATTCAGATAGTCATTATACCTACACTGAAAGTGTAAGAAACTACCAACTCCTCCCCAACCCCCAAAAAACCACCAAACCCAGAGGACTTTTGTACAGATTTGTTTTTAATCAGCTTGATTCTGTGCATTTGCATGAGCCATAGTACCTGAAGAATATCTCCAGGAAACACAAAGCCTACAGTAGTAACTTTTCACACTGAGCATGCTAGAAAAGTCACTTATATTATCATTCCTTCAAAGAAGGCACTGCATAAGAAGATAGAATAAAAAAGAACATATGGTCCCACTGGACCTGCATCTATCTAGGAACTTTCTGTCACTTTCAGGTGACAACCCTAAACCAAGTCTGAAAATTGACACCCAAATGCTTACACTAAAATTTCTTACCTAATTGAAATTATTTCAAAATTGGCATGTACCTTTTCTTCTGAAAAAAACCCCAACTATCTCCTCTCCCTGCCACTTGTCTTCAGCATCTTAGTGATGATGCTTAGATATCTGGTAAGCACCACACCAGACACAAATATCATACTAAGCCACAAGAGCACTGTGCTTTCTGCCAGAATTCACAACAGGAATGTTCTCTGCATCTCCTTAGGAGGTGGGGATGACACAGAGGAGCAATCAGAAAGAAGTAAGCCTGCATTCAGTGGGAGGCATGAGCACTCAGTGTGGCCTTCCAAAGGACTTCATAAAGTAAATCATTAGATAGAAGATATCAAAAATACATTCTTGACAAAATGGAGACTTTTCAGTATTACCTGCAACAACCCCAAGAACCAAGTCTTTTCCAGTGGTTGAATGCTGACCTTTGACCCAGAGGGTTTTAAGACTATTAAATGTATAAAAATAAACAAAATTGGAGCAGCAAAGGCTGGAGATAACAGGGAACCATCCTCGATATGGTGCCAACCTAATGGAGAGTAAAAAGTCACAGTAAGAAATCAGTGAAGTGTTTATGTGATCTGGCTGATTTTATGTGTTGGTGGAGGATCCCAGAGATACAATGCTGTATGCTACAGGAAGTACTACCTAGATATGTCTTTACCAGCAATGGTAACAAACCATACTTAACTCCTGAGTAAGGAAAAAAAGTATGTGGATTCTCACACAAAATTTAAAAATTGAAGACTAGTTACTGAAATTCATATACTCCACCTAGGAGAGTTTTGCAAGGATGCAACCTGGAGACAGAAGACAGACAGGTGGGAAGAATTTCTAATAAATGCCTTACTGTAAAATCTACAGCAAATTAGTCAGGTAAGTAAGAAAAAGACATTACCTAGTGAAATTTAACTAGATTAATCACAGATTAAAAACTGAATACCATCTAAACCTGTCTTGATTTAGCAATGATTTCGTAACAACTGCCTAGCTCCCTTCTCTGATAGGCTTGATCATCCTGTAAAACAGGGACACTTCAACTGTCCTACAGTCCCAACACGTTCTACAACACATTCAAAAAAAGATACTTATACCCACCTTCACTGGAGTTGCACAGAACACGTAGAAAACTGGTATCATCTTAAAAGCATAAAAAAATCACCCCAACCCCAGTAATTATGGAGGCTCTTTAGAATTCACTAAAATACTGGGAGTACACAGAATTTAAGGATCTCCAGTAAGACTGTAAAAGACGCAAGGCTGGTAAACACCACATCTGACTTTTCTTAAAATGTAAATGCAACTTTTTCATCTCAAATCCGTCAAGTGCTTCTCCCTCCCATGTAGCTGGGAATACACCTTATTGTTACAACTGCTTCTGAAGTTGCAGGCTTAGCTAACCATACAGTTACAAATTAACTGAATATGAAGTTATTCATAAACCAAATTAAAACACTTCTTATATTACCTATCTCTTCAATGCTGGAAAAGAAAGAGAGAAACATCCTCTACGGATTATGTCCTCTAACTGAGTGTTAGTTTGGGCTTGGTTGATTTATTAAGAACAACTTCTGATGACTTTCAAATGAAATATCTTGTAGTGCAAAACATGAAACTAAAACAAAACCCATGAGTTTATTTTAATGACTTAAGCTGTCAGTAGTAGCATCCATGATTCACTGCAGTCTTGAGAAAAATTTTGCGTACACTAGTCAACACCTTTCAGATCACCTAGAAAAGTTTGGAAGTTCAGGGAAGAAAGCTGTCTGATAAAGTTCTGCATGAAGTCCTTTAGCTTAACGTATTTGCTTTATCTAGACGAGAGAAACAGCCTCACAAAGTATGGTAATGAGACAAGACTCTACAAGCTAATGTGAACAAAATGTTTATGATTTCTCATATTTCAGATCTGTTGTTGTTTGGACTTTGTTACTTCACACACATCTCTAACTTAGTACCATTGCTTTGCCAGGCCTTCCCAATACCTTTGGAAGAAGCAATGTTCCTCTCTTAAGGATGTTCCTTCCTCTTCTGGATTTTTCTCTTTCACAGGCAAAGTGGGATGACCACTTTTTCGGTCTTTCCACCTCAGTTAACTACTTCATTTTTCTTGATTACTTTTGTCTTTCTTTTATTTTTTAATTGAAGTTTACTTGCCACCTTCATGTTACAGAGGTAATGGGGGAATGTGAACAAGAAAGATCAGCTGGCAGAGAACTCTTCATGCATACATCTGCTCAAGTTCAAAGGTGACACAGCATTACAGGCCAAGTTAAACTTTTGTCAGCTTTAATATCCTGGAAGCACTCGTCTACTTAGGAGTTCCAGGGATTCAGTTAGGAAAATACTTCTAACAAGGACAGGCATAAAATTGTTTTCCCCAGCCAGCTCAGCTCGGACTATGACAAATAATAAAGCACAGCACAGCTGAAAGTTAACTGGTTTTAGATAGATGTTGAATCCCACCAGCATAAAGTGCATTGGTGTTTAGTTCTACATGCTTAGGAGAAGATAAAGACCTTCCCACTGGGAAACATGTCTCAGTTCTCTTGAAAGTGGCTCAGTTGTCCAGGAGTTTCATCCTGGTTATTGAGAAATTGACACACCCAAGAATCCAGGTAGATAAAGCTGGTTTATCAGGTATATATGAAAGTACATTTGCATTTCTGAGGAGGCACAGCTACCTCACTAATGAAGGCATAGTTACATCACTGAACAGATCAATTGCATAAGGTGCTCAAAAAAGTTAATCCTAGTTTGCTAAAGACGAACACATAAGATTATGCAAGTCATACCACATTTGTGTGGAGACATTTCAATCTGGAATAAAAATCTGTCCACACAGATACAGGCTAAATGTTCCACTTTAAAAGCATATTCAAAATAGTTTTAGAGTTTATCTATGAGAAGACAAACAGAAAATCAGTATCTACTCACAGGCCTTCCTCTTTGATTATTTCCAAAAGGACAGCCGGTGTTGTCTTTGATTTCCGCTTCTCATCAACTGGAAAGCAAAACAATGAAACTTTTAAGATGATTCAAATTTTTAGCACTCTTTTTTAAGTCCTTATCCTTGCAATTCTGAATATATCCTACAAGCATGTGTTTCTTCTTCCTCATAAAGGATAGAAATACCCTATTTCTCCTTATTTTCATGTGTTAGGTAAGACAACTTACTTTTTTATTCTTCCTCAGAGTGACAGGTTCTGTTGTGCTCCAGAGTATCTATAATTACCAGTTGCTAATAGTTGTGACATGAACTGAAAGTAGGTTCCCCTTAAGTAGAGAGCTAAAATTGGGCCTGCCTAACTGCTCTCGAAATTATGCCTTGGACAGCAGAGTAGCACTGGTAGCAGAGCAATCTCCTACAGCTCATCTGCAAATAGCTAAGCCTTAGCAAAACAGTCTCTTCCAGCACTGAAAGCTATTCATTTCTCAACCACATACTTCTGACAACCTGGCTGATAATCTCTCTCCAGTTCTTAACAGAACTTTAGTCATAGTTCTAAAATGCTTGTTGAGTCTGTGACTTTTGATTAGAAAATAGAGTTTTAGAACAAAACAGTTTATGTCCCAGATGCATTTCTGTAAATATTGAATATTCCTAATCCCAATTCTAACCCTGATTTTTCCCTTTAAACCATCCTCTAGAATAATTCTAGACTTGTTTATCATTATATTACCCCTGCATTTTGAAGTGTTCTCAGCAGCCAAAAACAACAACACACAAATATAATCCTATGCAATCTTGCATCTTTGTTTTTGTCTTTGGTCTTAAATACTCATTTAAAAGTCAGAGAGTACACAGCTAATTAAAAGGTTGCCCAACTTTCAAAAGGGAGAATTACCTCCAGCTGGAAAAACAGTGTTACTGTGACACAAGTAAGATTCCTGCTCATGTAGAACATCCTCCCCACAACCACCCTTACAAGTGCCCAGGCCAAGATGAACAGAAATGCCCATGTATGAAGAAACTAGATTTTGACACTTACCCTGAAGTCTAAGCCTAGCTGTATCCAAAGGAAAAAATACAGTCATTGCAGTCATACTGCCCTGAAAAACAAAATAAACTGGCTGTATAGTGTATCAGATGCTTATACAGAGCCTGCTAGACTCTTCGTAACCCTTCACTTCTCACGCACCAATCAGGCTGCTGAGTAAGTTTAAAAAGGTGATAAACTCTACACATAACACATTTTTTGTCCAATACTTATAAATGAGGGTTATTTTTCTCTTGCATTAGATCAAGACCAAAATTAAAACCATTAAAAGCTTTTCGCCAAAAGAGAAAGTTTTTGAAGTCTGAAAGTTGATCTAGTGGCATCAGAAAATAAACACTTAACTTTCTCTACCTGCCATTAGCCTCAAAAAGGCCCTGGCTTGGTAGAAACCTGTTTTCCATGCATCAGGTGGCTGCTAAAGCTGTGGCACCTCTTCTATTAGTGGCCATGCAAACTGTTTAAATGGTGGGAAGGTCTGGAATATAGCAAGTCGCTCAATGCTGTGTTTAAACTACAGTGCACAGTGTGACTTGAGCTTTCCTACAGCTGTCTTTTGCCATACATTTAATGGCATACTGGAAATGGAAATACACATCTGGAAATACTCCAGCTCCTCAGCAGGCTGTTTGGACCTAGCTCTACAACAAGCAACAGAGGACTAATTTTCTGGTGGTGTTTCCACACTAAAACAATTCTGGGTTGAAGTCTTAACCAGACTTACATTTCTCCAGTTTTTGTAATACTAGGTAGCATATGTAAGACTTGGCCACAATTACCTGGTTATTTTAACCCATTTAAGTTTGGGCTCCTGCCAAAACAGTTCATTCTGCTCTCCCATGTACTTGTCCTGTGTTGTATTATTCTCACCTACCATGTACCCAGCTGGACAGCAAGTGAATGAATGAACCCATCTGACTGAATAGTTCTAAAAAGTCTATCTCAGTTAGAAGGTTAGTGCCAGCACAAAAAAGTATCAGAAAGAGCCACAATGCTCTTCCTAATGAGAGCGGCATTACTGCAATTTTGAATACAGCCTCAAAACACAGTTACACCTACACACAGAACAAGACTGCACAGACACTACAACTTCCAACTTTCCCCTGCTTCTATCCTCCCAAAGTGAGATTTATCCTGGAGCTTAGCCTCAATGCAATGCACCATGCAGCAGCAACACATACACACACTTGCACTCAAAATTACAAAATGGAAATGAGGAAACAGTCGGGTAGTGTCACACAGGAGACAATGGATGTGTGGCCACAAGACACAGAACAGTCTATTTCAGTTGGAAAGGATTTGCAATGATCACCTAGTCCTGCTGCCCCCACCCCACTTCAGGGCTGACCTAAAGCAAAAGCATGTTAAGTGCATTTCCCAAATACCTCTTAAACACTGACAGGCATAGGGCACTGACCACCTCTCTCAGCACCTCTCTCTCTATTCCAGTGCTTGACTGCCAAACTGACTTAAAACTTATATGGAACTATAGTTTAAGAGACTGTCATGAGATAACTAAACTGACCTAACAGATTATTGCACATAAAAACCAATTTGTACTCTCTCCCCTTCTTTTGCTAAATTGAGGGAAATAGAAAGCCAAGTTACTTTTCTCTTAGGTTTATAAAAGGAACAACTCAACTACATGATGAGGAGGCTGCCAGAAGCATCATACGGAAGAGACAGGATTTCATGGCTAGAAGAAAGGAAAAGAGGAGTAAGCAGGACCAGTCCTTCCCACAACAACAGAAGCCCTCAAGAGGGACGTAGATTTCTTGCTAAACTGCATTGAGACCACCAGGTAAAATTACACTAGTGAGTGCAGAACAGATGCTGCCATGTATTACCCTGCACTGCTGGAAGGGTGAGGCTTCACTGTCAGCCTTCCCACCACCGCCCTGTCAGCAGAAGATCTTGGTAGTTTGCCAAGTCACATTACCCCTGAATAATCACAGGGACAGGTACAGACTGGTTTGTGTAATCCCAGGCTCTTGGTCAACTGTGCACCATTGCTTCCTTCAATCTGGCAGCATAACTTTCCGGGCACCTACACAGTGATGCAGACACAGAAACTAATCTGGCTGAAAAACAACTTTTTCCACTGGGCTACTTCTTCAGTCACATCAGTTCACTGACCAGTCACAGCACCCAATAAACAACTGGGCAGTAGCCAAGAGGTGGCCAGAACAAATGGCCTGAGATGACTGCTGCCAAGAAGATGTGTGCAGGACCACAGCCTGAAGCTTGGCTTTACAAAAAATAGTAGTAACAAAAAACGTGTAACATATTAAAAAATTTAACTGTGATTTGTCAGCCACCATTCAGCCAATGAAGCAGCCTGACTGTTCTATAATATTCCCACAAAATTCTCATTCCTATAGCTTTTGCAATAGGAATATTATGTTGTAGCAACATGCTAAAGAGTTAAAGAATACTCATGTAATTCAATTAAAGTTCACAGGAAATCAAGCACTGTTTTGTGTTGGGGTTTTTTTTTTACTGCTCACAAAACTTTCCTACAATTCAAATTTGACTAGGTTGCCTAGAAGGTATATGAACTTTCAGTATACTAGAATACAAACAAAAGTTATGTCGTGGTCTGACATTTGTTTCTGATGTATTAGCTCAACACAGTCTGAGGTTATGGCTGGATTGATAAATTTGGTTCACACCACAAACTTTGTTCAGGGGCACAACCTTACTACAGCAATCTGTATTTGAAGGAAGAAGCTAACAGCAAGGTCTAGAAAGTATCACTGACTTCTGTAGAAGCCAGCAAAAGGAAAATGGGTAGTATTTCAATAATGAGATTATTTGAGAAAGCTCCACTTTTTGAAAGTGGAAACAAAATCCCCACTGCCTTTGATGTTTAAGTAAACAGACTTAAAACAATTTGAAGAGCAAACAAGAACCTTGTGTTTATTTATAATAAAACCAAAACTTCCCTTAAAATCTTGTTTTACGTTTTAGAATCAGCCTTTATAACTGAATCACTGAATTGTCAGGATTAGAAGGTATAACCCCCCCCACCAAAGCAGTGTCACCCAGAGCAGGTGACATAGGAATGCCTCCAGGTGGGTTTTGAATGTCCCTAGAGAGGGAGACTCCATGACCCCCCCCTCCCCCGGGCAGCCTGTTCCAGTGTTTATCGTTCAATAACATTTAGCAACTTTCATCCTAGAAGAGACACGAGGAGTTCTTTCTATCCATCAATATGCCCAATCCAACATGATACATGCACTAAAATTCTTAATCTGTTGGAAGCAGAAGGCTGATTTACTATTTAGAGCTAGCACTCTGAAAAGAAAAATTCAAGGGCTGGGCACACTAGGAAATCTACATAAATTAAATGCGACTTTTCAATTTACAAGCACCACACGAAAAATTAAATTCAGCAACCGACACAAACCTCCTCCGGGTGCACTAAGCTCGCCTTACACTTTGATTAGCACCTATGCGCCGCCTCACCCTCCGCAGCTCTAAGCACTTACGAGGCCGTGGCAGGAGGACGACGCCGGGTACGGCTCTCGGATTACACAGCTGAGGCGCTGCCCCTCTGCCCGAGCTCAGATTTTCACCGCTGAAGGATGCCCAGCTCCGGATGCGCCAACCCGCCTTCCTGAGGGGCAGCTCCCCGCAGCTCCCGCTGGCTCAGAGGCGGCTCCGGCTGCTCAGCCCCGCTCAGGCCTCCAGCCCGGCCAAGCCCCGCGCCGGCTCCCCGGCCCATCCCGGCCGAACAAAGGGACCCGCGCCCCCCGCCAGGCCAGCGCGGCCGCTCCGCCTGCCGGGCCCCCCGCCCGGCGCCGGTCCGCTCGCTCACCACGGCGCCGGACACGGCGTGCACCAGGCTCTCGTAGGAGGCGACGGACGACATGGCAGCGGCTCTCGGCGGCGGCTGCTCCGCCCGGCCCGGCGGCCCCGCGGCCCCGGCCAGCTCTGGGCTGCCGCGCCACGCCCCCGCGCCCGCCATGGCGCCCGCCCCGTCACGTGCGCCCGCGGCCCCGCCCCGCGCCCGCCCCGCGCCCGCCCCGCGCGCCCGCCCCGCGCCCGCCACTGCGCCCGCCCCGCGCCCGCCCCGCCCCGCGCCCCGCCCCGCGCCCGCCCCGCGCCCGCCATTGCGCCCGCCATTGCGCCCGCCCCGCGCCCGCCCCGCCCCGCGCCCGCCCCGCGCCCGCCCCGCGCCCGCCATGGCGCCCGCCCCGCGCCCGCCCCGCCCCGCGCCCGCCCCGCGCCCGCCCCGCGCCCGCCATGGCGCCCGCCCCGCGCCCGCCCCGCCCCGCCCCGCGCCCGCGGCAGCCGGCGCAGGAGACGGGCGTCGGTCCTGGGGCTCGCCGGCAGAATACAGCGCCGGGGCACCCGGGAAATGCGTTCTTGTTCCTTCCTCTGTAACTACGAGAGCGCCTTTTCTCTCCACCAGCAGCTTCGCTTCTCTTCCAGAAGAGGCCACCGAGAGGGGACCTCATCAGTGGCTATCAGCATCTGCAGGGAGGGTGGTGAGAGGATGGATCCAGGCTCTTCTCGGTGGTGCCAAAAAATAAGGCAAGAGCAATAGGACAACGGGCAGAAACTGATGCACGTGAAGTTCCACCTGCATATGAAGAACAATTTCTTTGACGTGACCACACACTGGAACAGATTGCCCAGAGAGGTTGTGGAATCTCTCTCACTGGAGATGTTCAAGAACTCTCTGGACAAAATCCTGTGCCATATTTAATAGCAATAGTGCCATTATTTCCTCCTTCTTAAAAAAGCAATTCCACTTGATAATCACAGAACAGTCTGAGTTGAAAAGGACCCAGAAGAACCATCATGTGCTCTGGGATGTTCAAACAGGGAGGCTGGACCAAATGACCACTGCAGTCCCTCTTCAACATGATGAATTTTGTGATTCTGTGATTTCTTTCCCAAACATTTAACGTAAGCATTTAATTATAACCAGGAAGCAAGACAAAATTTCACATTCTGATTCTGCTTTTTTGCTAACTATAGTCCCTTCTACCTACCCAAAGTCTGGTATCTTCAAAGTAACACCTTTACAAGACAAGAGTTTCTTATTCCATGTGGACCAATTGAGTCTGATGCATTTTCAAGCACCGGGGATCTTTAGCCTGGAGAAAAGGACCTTTGGGAGGATCTTACTGCACTTTACATGTTAAAGGAGGTTGAAGCAAGGTGGGGGTTGGCCTCTTCTCCCAGATATTAAACTACAGGAAAGAACAGACTCAAGTTGCACCAGGGGAGGTTTATACTAGATATTAGGAAAAAAATATTTAATGAAGGGGCTATCCAGCATTAGAACAGGCTGTCCAGAGGAGTGGTTGAGTCACTATCCCCAGAGGTATTTACAAGGCACGTAGATATTGCACTTGGGGACATGGTTTAGTGGTGGATGTGGCAGTGCCGGGTTTGTGGTTGGACTCAAACTAAGAGGTCTTTTCCAAACTAAACAGTTCTATTATTCTACTTTGTTTACTCCTTTTCCCAGTCTGCAACCCCTTGCTCATCTTTTGCTATCATGCTGAGAACCTGCAGCTGCAGCACACAGCTACAAACAGAATATCTCCTGGCTTGCCACACCTTGTTGTAGCTGAGGGTGGAGAGAGAAGTTCTAGCAAGACAGTGCTGGACACAAGTAGCTGGCTAAAGCACAGGGCATCCATGGCTCACTGCAGTTAGGGCACACAGAGACAAGGCTATCAGACTCACTGTTTGGGAAAATATCAGTAATCCTACAGCCTCCTTTTAAACTTTTGTGTAGGAGAGGTTCCACAAGTATGAAGGAGCTGAAGAAATTAAATGAGTTTGAACATGCCCCAATTAATAACAGCACTTGGGAGATGATCCCTATGTCTGTTCATATACTGCTGGGTTTTTTGCCATTCTCGTGTCTTATACTGGTTTCCAGATTGCTTCAAGTTTTTTTCTGTGTTAAAATCCCTTTTGTTTGTTTCACCTATACTTCGGAAAAAGTCTATAATTAAAGATAGGAATTAATTTTAGCTTTGTATCATGTTATTCCTGGGCTCTTTGGTTTCTACTGTTACTCCATCATATCTTGTTCTCTCTTTTTGAAAGAAAGAATAACTTCACAATTTTTTCTTCATAATTGTAACTCCTAGTCCTTCAGCCTCAGCTCCCCAGAAGCCTCTTGTTTGAACTGCAAGAGCTCCTAGTGCTTACATCTGTGGTAGGAATCACCATATCATCCATCACTTAAACAATGACAGGGCAGCTGTAACATTACACTCTTCCCAAGAGTTTCTATCACACAATTGCACAAACCATTCCCTTTTGAGAAGATGGTCCTTCATCAGGTGGCTGTTAACAGACCCCTTCTCTACCCTTCTGTGAGGAAAATCCCATTCTTTCCCCTGAGGGAGAGCAGGCATAAAGAATACAGGCTACCCTACCTAATGCAAGTGTTTCAATTGGAGAAAAATAATTTTCCAGTGCAGTGCTCCAGCACATTCCTGTACTCAGACTTTAGATGCTGATACCAGCAACCTAAGAGACCACAATTCTTTTATACAATGCTGATACCACTGATAGTCCCAATTTTTTTTTTTTTTTTTTTTCATCATGTAAGATCCCTGTGATGGATGCAGCCCTTCTGACTTGAGTGACAGTACTTTGGTTCAGGCATCACCAAAAAGGAGACCTGACTGAAATCATCCCTGCAGTGCAAACCATGAGAATCATCCTAAGCCGTATCTTATCCAGGAACAAAGAGTTTAGGCCTCTCTTATCAGGAGATCAGCACCAGCCTGAGCTGGGACTAGACAGAATAGAAACTGCTACAGCTGCACACCTGCACATACACCAAAAGGGTCTGACTACTACTAAAATTACTGACTACGAGTCAGTAATTTGAACCTCTAAAGAAATGCCTGTAGTCCCCATGAGCCCATTGGGCTCTCCTGTACAGCAGCAGGCTGCTCAGCAAGGATGTCCCCCTCAGACAGGGATGGCTCTTAAGGTTCATGCTCAAGGTTGAAAGAGCCCCTTACCAAACATCTGAGATCTATAATGAGGAAAGTGACATTTTACATTAAGCCTTAAAGTATATTGCATACTTGCTGCAGCTTCTATAAATCTAGCTATAGCTTAATTATTAGATGTACAGTAAGTAGTAGAGTGTTTGACCAGAGTGTAAATTATTGTTCAAACAATAATTTAAAACATTGTTAAATCACTATTTACTGTTCAATTATTGCTTAATAACAATTCTATCATCATTCACTTTACATTTAGGTGTCAATTAATAATCTTTGATCATAATTTAATCATTAATAAAACGTTTTCACTTACACCCACATTGATGCACTCTTAAAAACTCACCTGTGACACACTCCTACATGCAAAAGACAGGTCTTAATTTAGAATTAAGGTGTAGACAGGTCACTGGCTATCTCCTGTTACTAAAGCAGGCAGGAGCAGCTTTAGAAATCCAGGGAACAATTGTGCAAAAAGTGACTGCACAATCAGGCCCACGAGCTTTTGGGAGAAATGCCTCAAACAGGACACAGACTCTCATTACTTCTGTTCTTTGTGGATTTGTCCCTCGTGTGAAGGGAAGCTTTCACCAAAGAGTCAGTTTGTACTGCAGACTAGAATTCCATCATAAATGTGCACCCAAATAACTCTATCCTATTTCTACTGTATTTAGCAGTATTATTAATACAACAGTATGCCCTGTACATATTGCAAAGCAGAGTATTAACAGGTAACACAACCACTGCAATATTCTAAAAGCAACTTACTTTCTTGTTGGAACATACAGACCTAGTGAAGCTGTCCAGGAAATATGAGGGCACAGTGTAGATCAAGTTAAACTTAATCTGTAGTGTGCCTTGTATTTAACCAAGGGAAAACAAAAGGCAGGTACCGAAAACCCTGCATAAACCTATCTACATAAAAGGTTTCCTGAAGACATGGCATTAAGGTCTTCACATAAATGCTGCAAATGCGAGTTTCCAGGCAAACACATAACATGCACAAGTGGGGTTTAAGGAAGGACAGACTGCCCAAACCACCTACCTTCTCTCACATCTGTCAATTCTACTGGAAGGCCTGGAAGAAGTGAAATAAATTAAGCAACAACAAGTACAAACATATTCTCTGTACGTGAACTACATCTTTGTTATTTCTTGCTTATGAAATTTTGTAGGTGCCTGTACTAGGAGGTAATAAATCTTGAGAAACTTTACTCTTGATGGATTTTCTTTGGCTCACCTAAACTTTTTTTCTGATTCATGACAAGGAATAAAGATACTGTTGGTGACTCCAGAGGTCAAACTTACTCCCTCTGAACTGTGTCCTACTTTTCCAAGTAAAGAATGAGTTCTGAACTTAAACTATTTCTACCCTAGTACTCTCCTCATTCTAACATTAGTTTTAAAAAAAATAGAAATACATATCTCCTTTATTTTTTTTTCCCAGAAATTAAATTCATTAGTCCAAACATGTCAAGACAGAATGACAGAATTTAATTACTACTTTCAAAATTACTTTCTGAATCTGTTGCAAAACTTTATCTCTCAGAGAAGGTGGATAAACTGGATCATACTCCCAGTACATCAAAGATAAAAGCAACTAGAAATTAAGAAATGAGATTGCGTGTGTTGACAATTTGATTTAATTAAATAGAGCAATTTGATCACACCAACTTGTCAAAATCAGGCTTACGTATTAAGGCCAAGGTAAAACCAGCCTCTTCCAGAGGCAAGCATTGTAATCAC